AGTTAGTTTCACGATGGACATTCGAGCTCCATGGCTTCAGCGGGGCGCTGCTCTTTGCTCAACCCAAAACAAGCGACTCGACACCGGCCAGCCGCGTCCAATCTGCCCCGCTCAGTCTGCCCGTCTCCGAGGTTCCAAGGAGGGACAGACTGAGTGTGGCTGCCCCAAATCAGGCTGCTTGATTCGTATTGAACAAGAAGTAGACGTCGCTGAAACCACGGAGCTCAAATGTTTACAGAGAAGTTGCTAAACCATCATAATTCATGACCAACCCCTATCAGTTGTAGAAAACAAAAGATTTCACAGCTTGATACTTGCAGCCAAGATATAGTTTACCCTCCAGGAGATATTTATCAGGACAACAGTAGACAATCATAAAAAACATATGATTTGAAAATTATAATAAAAACAAAAACAGCTACATTATAAAGTGATGTAAAATACTAAAAACAGGAACATGTCTGTTGGTTTATGCCATGAACTTAGCAGATGTTTAAAGCCATTTAACATTTTATTTAATTTATTTCATTTATTCATTCATTTAAATGAAACAAAATTTAAAAAAAAAATCATCAAAAAGAAAATGTTGAATGAAAAGTGTGCAGAAAGAAGAAAAAAATTCTTATATCTGCCCCTTTATAAAATATAAAACAACTTTAAACAATCACTTAAATTAATCACTTTAATATCCACTTTAAAGCTAGGAATAAAAAGAAACATGTTTTGTGTTAGCAAAATTTAATTCTAACTATAAAACTTATCCAACATTAATAAAACTTACTTCAAGTTGCCTTTTTGGACATGCATGCATTATTTGTACAAATTGTACTTGAGAGGAGATTATTACAGCCTCATATAAAATCATTGATGATCATGATATCGGAACTGGATCGGTACTCATATCTAGGTATCGGGATCGGATCGAAATTTTAAAAAGTGGATCGGTGCATCCCTAATTGTAATCAAATTGGTTGGTATAAAGAAAAAAAATTAATTACACTTGGAGTTTGTTTATGGTTTACTGAAAAGATATTTGATTAAAAAAAACACTTGGTAATTTGTCTAAAAAATCTAACTGAAAATGTATTTAAAAGTGGGTTGTTGAAATTATCCCTATTAATATGTTTATTATTTATTAATGTGATTTAAAAATATTGTCTAAAATGCTTTGACTATGAAAATGTAATGAACAAACCTTTTGGTAAAATCTGCCAATTTGGTTAAAAAAAAGATTGAAATTATGCCACAATATTTTTATTTTGTGTTAATTTAAGCAAGTAATAGCTGTATTTGTATTTTTCTTTTGAGGTTTTTCAGCTAACTGCCTACAACTACCCACAAAACTTCAATAAATGTGGATCAACTGAATTTAAGGCTACTCACTGAGTGAAATCCAGTTGAAAACTTCAATGTAGAGGCTATCACGTTCAAGTGGGGAATTGCACAAACAAAAAACCCAAAAGAACTTGACACTGAAAAACCGCAGTCTGAAGACTGGAGTACAATTAAGAGGTGGTCAGCTAGACCAAACATGGCCATAGAGGACTAAATCAAGGTTGTTCTTTTGCCCTGCTGCTGAAATCAAAATGGCTGGTTCAGTAATGCTGGAGAAGTTGAAGACCACAAGAACAACAGTGAAGCGGCAATTTTCTCGTTTGGCCAATAATGTGCTACGAATGCACACAATGATGTCTGAGGAGGAGCTCAGGGACAGGTTTGTAAAGCTCACAGCAGAAGCTAGTAAAGTCTTTGAAGCCAATTATGATGTTGAGGAACAATATACTGCTGAAAATTCAGACGTAGATTTGTTAAGTGAACAGCAAAAAGCTGACTTGGACAAAACAACCACAGAATGTGAGAAAAAGATGCAAGAAGTAAAGGATCTAATACAAAAGACACTGGGAAAATTTTGGAGAATATGAACTGACGCAGGCAATTACAACTGCAGAGTCACATGCAGACCACGTGGATACTGTGGACCCAAGGAAAAACACAGGTGCATATGAATGCATGCTAGAAAATCTTCAAAAACTTGTGAAGACGGCGACGGTGGTGCATAAACATTGGAAGTGCCGGGCTCCCCGTGCAGAGCAACATCAGTTCCAGAGTTGGATCAGAGGCCTCAAAACTATTTTACCAAAACTGGCATTAAAAAAGCAGAATGTATTGAAGTGCAAACTAAAGAAGGGACCAACAGATTAAGTACTTCAATGAGCTTCCCGGCTGCACCAGCCATTAAATTAAAGCCCACTGCTCTCCCAAAGTTCACTGGCATTCGCAGAGATTTTCATCAGTGGAAGAAAGATTGGGAAGTGCTTCAGATGCAGGGAGAACCTACTGGATCCAAAGAGATTAAAAAATTTCATCTACTTGACATTGTGGACAAGGGAATAGTACGAGACCATTGTCTCACAAATTACACAACAGCTGATGAGATATTTTGGGTCTTGGAGAACTGCTTTAGAAATAAAACAACTATTGCCCTTGAGATAGTGGAGGAGCTCCAAAAGGTCTCACCAGTTAGAGGCAACCAGCCCAAGAAGATTGTTGAGTTAATCCAAACTGTAGAAAAGGCTCTGATTGACCTGAAATAACTTGGCGCAACCGGTGCTATAAAGAACCTCCTTATAACAAAAGCAATAGAGTAAACTTCCAGATGGCCTGAAAAAGGAATGGCTTCTCCATGTAGCCAGCAAAGGAAATGAGGCTGAACTACCTCCTGACATTTCTTAAAGGTCAAAAAGCCATCTATGAAAAGCTGGATCAACTGAAGGAGGAGGAGTCAAAACCAAGGTCAGAACCACGGCAAGCCCGGACCAGAACTTCTACCAAACCAACAGACATGTCTCGAGGTTGTGTGGTCTGTGGAGACGGAAAGCACAAGAAAAGGTTGTATTTCTGCCAAAAGTTTCGTACACTCAAGCTGTCAGAAAGAAAGGGAAGCTGGGGGCCTGCAAAAATGTCTTAGAGATTCACAGTGAGAATGAGTACTGTAAAACTGAGTTCCTGTGCAGACAGCCAGATTGCAAGGGGCAACACACTGCAAAGCACCATTATTATCTTTGTCCAAGAGCTGAAGTGTCTAGGGGGCACAAAGACAGCACAGTGGGAGGTGATATAGGAGGCAGCTACACTCAAGCCCAACAAGACTTTATTAAAAGCGTCCCACCTGAACAGGCAGAAAAGTGCCGCCATGTTTTCTATAATGTGGTGACTAAAACATCTCTTGTGTCTAATCAGCCCAACCTTCTAGCAAAGAATGCTTTAGTGGAGTGGCCTGTCATTATGATGATATTAGAGGTCACAGCTAATGTAGAACAAAAAGTTGGAGCCCTAATTGATCTAGCATCGATACGAATTATATAACACATAAAGCAGCTGATCGATTAAGCCTGAGAAGTGAAGCTATAACCCTTGTTGTCCACGGTGTGGGAGAAATGAAAGTTCAAGTTACCATGAGACGGTACCTCCTAAAGATCCGGGTCAGAACAGAAAGGGGAAACTTCAAGGCCCATCAACTCCTCTGCTATGGTTTAGACAGCATTGCAGATATCCATGTAGTAGGGTTGTTATAGATAAACCGATACGACCGGATATCCGGTTTGACAAGCTAGCGATATGGTTGTGTCGGTAGCAGCCGTATAAATCGACAGCAACCAGCCACAAATGCTGAGATGAACCGGTTGAAGAGACATGAACCGGGTATCGCGAGACTAGCTCGGTTGACAGTGCGTTTATAAAACAACGCGAGAGTCGGAAATGCCTGCGAAGCTATTCTCACGCATACTCCGTAGCTCACCAAGACAACGAGAATGGATGTAAATAGTAGCAGCGTTAGCGGGTCACCGAGAAAGATTTTCAATACAGCAGCCAGACAAAAGTCTAAAGTGTGGAACGTTTTCGGGTTTTACAAGAAGGACGGAAAACTCGACAAAAACCACGCTATTTGTAAGCTATGCAGAGCACCTCTGAAGTACACTGGTAGCACAACAAACCTTGATCAACATGCAACGAGAAAACACAGAGAGGAGTATGGCGAACTTCTCAAGCCCCATAACAACGAGCAGGAGCAGGCAGCTGCCACACAGAGAGCGACGGGTAACGTTATCACTAAATTTTACGGGCAACTCGGCGACAGTTCATCACGAGCTAAGGATATAACGGCATCAATAACCTGTTTCATAGCTAAGGGCTTATGGCCGTACAATATAGTGGAGGGGGAAGGATTTCAGGATTTGATTCATACGTTAGAGCCCAGATATAAGATTCCGTCCCGGCAGCATATCACAAACACATGCATGCCAGCGTTGTATGCCCAAGTGAAGAGCCAAGTTGAAAAAGAATTGGCACATGCAGAGCGAGTTGCTATTACAACCGATGCCTGGACGTCATGCTCCACTGAGTCTTATGTGACCATCACTGTCCACTACATCTCTCCAGACTGGAAGTTAAATGTGCATGTGTTGCAAACCAGGGCATTCAAAGGATCCCACACTGGAAAAAACATTGGTGCTCTGCTAAAACAGGCATGTGTTGACTGGAACCTTCTTGATAAAGATCCAGCCCTGGTGACAGACAATGCCACAAACATGGTATTAGCTGGAGTGGAAGCAGAGATGACCCCTCACCTCATGTGCTTTGCACACACTATTAATCTCGCCACACAGAAAGCCTTTAAAGTTGACACAGTAGCAAGGTTGCTGGGGAGAGTGAGGAAAGCCGTTGCCTTTTTTCATCGTAGTGTGAGGGCAGCAGAAATCCTTCAAGAGAAACAGAAACAACTAGCCTTGCCTTCCCACAAACTCATCCAAGATGTATCCACGCGGTGGAATAGCTCCCATGACATGCTTGAACGCTTTTTTGAGCAACATCCTGCGATTTCTGCAGCACTCATGTCCAGGGACCTCAGAAAAGGAGAAGAGGGTAATACTCTCAAGGACAAAGACTTCTTCGACATTGAAGACATTGTCAAACTGATGGCGCCGGTCAAACTTGACTACCAGCATGTCTGAAGACAAGCGACCCACACTCTCAATGATTCTTCCTGTAAAAGCAAAGCTTAAAAAGAACTTTGAACCATCAGATGAAGACTCAGTGTTAATCAGAGAGATGAAGCAGGCGTTCAAGAATGACTTGGAGAAACGCTACACAGGCCTTGAACATCTCTTCCACACTGCAGCAGCTCTGGACCCCCGTTTTAAGTCCCTGCCCTTCCTCAGTAACCATGATGCAGAGAGGACATTCACAAGCATATCAGCAGAAGCAGCATCCCTGCATCACAAGGTAAATCCCCCAACACACTGACAAAATACATATTACAGTACATTCAGTTACAGTCTGCTGTGTTTTGTTGCTGTCATTAGATATATTCTGACTACTGTTTATTTGATTCTTTACACTGCATTTAACCATACTGTACACTAAATGTTATTTCATGTTTTATTTCTAGGTAACGGGGGGTTCAGTTCAGAGAGGTCCAGTGCAGACTGATCCATGTCAGAGTGAACCTGCAAATGGAGATCCGGACGTCTGCATTGATGTACCCCAGACCCAAGATGAGCATAAAGGTTTGTGTGTTTTATAACTTGTGATCAAGAACGAGAAGACTTTGTCTTAAACTTGTGCTGCAGTCATAGTATCAGTATAAAACACATTCACTATAATAAGAGGATCTGCATGCAAAGAAAGAGTTAAATAATAATGATGATGATAATGATACATATTTTACATATGTACACGAGTCCTTACATAAATAAATTCTGAACATCAAATGAAGATTTATACATAAAATGGTAGTCAATTAAAAAACTTCATGGCAAACATAGCCAGTAATATATGGTACTTGTTTTCTATTTCAGATGATAAACCTCCTTGTAAAAAGAAGAGAATGTCAGCCCTGGACCAGCTGTTGGGAGAAGACTTTCAAGTAAGGACGGCATCTAGATCTGTGAGGGACCAGGCCAATGAAGAAGTCAAGAGGTACAGAGAGCGTGATCCTTTGCCCCTGAAAAAAAACCCACTACAGTGGTGGAAAGAGCAACAGGACTTGCCACTGCTGTCATCTATGGCTAAAATGTATCTGTGCATACCGGCCACCAGTGTGGCATCTGAGAGAGTTTTCAGCACTGCAGGAGATATTGTTTCCACAAAACGCAGTCTACTCAAATATGAGCATGTGGATCAGCTGATTTTCCTTGAGAAAAATCTGCCGCAAAAAAAAGATGAGGACAGTGATTATGACGAATAAAAATATAGGTAAACATACAAACATAAGGAAGTGAACTACTTCACTGTGTTTGAGTTCAGATTGAACCTGACGTGAATGTAGAAATGCAGGACATTACTTTTGTTTAGACTACCTCACCAGGTCAGAAAGCTGCAGTTTGATTTCTTTTATACATGTAATCGGCACTTTGACTGTTGATATGTGCTGCTGATTATCCATGCTGCTGATCTGATCTCATGCTGCTGTTTAAATGACATGATGTTATATTAATCTGTGCCCACCTGCTCATACAAACTCATGTTCGTACTGCTGTTGTTAGGCGTACTGTTCTTGCATTATGTTTTTGTATTATTAAGTTCAAGTTCAAGTTGTGTTTATTTGTCATATGCAAGGTTAACACAATGAAATGTTCAGGATGAGAAGAACCGATTTGACTTGCTAAAAAACAAAAAACAAGCAAACAAGAAATACTAAAGCATGCAATAAGGGTACAAAATAAACTACCAAAAAGTGAAAAAGTAATTATAATATTTACAAAGTTTCTGAAGAGAAAAATGGTAAACAACATTGTAGAATTTTTACAGTGAAGCAGAATGAATTTGTGTGAATAAGTATTTCAAGGTAGTAATGTAATATAAGCTAAAATGCACATGATATATATTGCACATAACTACCAAACTACGCAGGGTATGTGACAGGTTATTGCACAGGTGCTTTGTGCTTACTGTAGCTTATTCCTATTTTTTTTTTTTTTTTATTACATGCTGCTGTAATCATTTGTGCATTTTATAATTTTTCTTTATTTTCTCATTTTATACTGATCCCATCAAACAAAGAAATATTCTTTTAGCTGGTCTTTTTAGGTCCATGTCTAAAAATAAACACATTTGACATGTGATTCTGTTGTTTGGCTTTTTACTTTATTTTTGCCAGTGCCTTACTGCACGCTTTTAGATATGATATATGTAAACTTTTACAAATTTAAAAATAATGTAAGAATGTCACATTTATAGAAATGGCCCTTTTTGTTCATAATTAATATTTGTCTACATTCAACAAATGTTAAACTGTAGAATTATATAAAGTTGAATCGAATCGAACCGAATCGCTCTTCCACTGTATCGAATCGAATCAAATCGTTCTGTTTTTAAAATAAATCGTTTTTGAATCGAATCGTAACCTTTGTATCTAGATGCGAATCGAATCGTCTATCACACAGAGATGTACAACCCTACCATGTAGTAAAGGTGGGGGACAGCTTAACTGTGGACACACGGGCCACCGTTTGTTATTTAAAACACGTACGGGCCACCGAATGTAGTATGTCAACAGACAGCTTTGCTGTACCTTCACTACTAATTAATTATTTAAATACAACGGGTTCTTTCTTTTTCGAGTTAAATTAATGCCATGTGACCGAGATAACTGTGAGTATTGTTTAATCAGTGACAGGAGACGTTACTTTTCTTTGACCCATCAGAATAAATGTGGTTATTTATTTAACAGAATCAAAATTTAACATCAAAACATTGTACACTTGATTCGCTGATCTGGTTCTGATTAACAAAACTTGGCACGCTTTACTAACAAGACAACAGAACATTCCTGAAGGCATCTAGATTGATTTACTGGCGGAAAGATTTACAAGAGGAGTTATTTAGGAGATGGATGAAGGAAAGATGTAGGTTTTTGTTGACCAGAATTAGCACGCTTCTTTCAACACCAGCTCAAACCTCCGGTACACTTAGCGCGCGACGACTCGTTACCTTCGCAGAAGATGAATCAGCTCTGGTACCGGGCCCATTTCAATGCAACCTTTCCAGCGTCTCCGGTTAAAGCGGCTGGTCATTGTCAGAAGTCATGTGGTTTACTCCGGTAAACAGAACTAGCTCCCTTCGAGGTTGTAGGTGTTACGCCCGGGTGAGTTCACAGCAAGGCGCTGTGACTCCATCAGAGATCCCACTCAGAAGTGGAATACTCCCAGAAGACTCCATGAAAGACCCAAGAAGACTCCGGTCAAAGACTGAAAAGTCGAGAAGACTTCAGAAAGCTTGAGAAGACTCCATCAAAGACTGAGTTCGACTCAGATCAAAGACTGAAGAGTCGAGAAGACTCCGCTTCTTCCAAGACTGGTCCAAGACTGAAAAGACTGACTAGTTCCAGGAAGTGCTGACTTTTAAAGAGTCTTCACTTCTAGTCACTTAGTACTTCCTGATTGGTTGAAACAACCAACAGGGGGTGGTTCTAGTTATGTCAGAGGGTTATTAAAAGTCAAAAGAGGGTTCAGGAATGTTTAGGAACGTTTAGTACAGACAGAGAAATGTTTTGAAGAAGTGAGAGGAACGCAGATGCCAGTGGCAGTTATTTACCATCTGCTAGGTTTAAAAACAATACAGTTCGTTCTAATAACTCGTTCTCTGACTGTCTCTGACTTTTGACTGACATCACTGACTTCTCATTAGACAGAAGATCAAAATGCATAATTACTTTGTAAATAGACATTTAACTTGATTTCTAAGTCTAATGTGGTTTAAAAATCATTAATACTGTTTCACAGTTGATTTAAATGAGTAGTTTACTTTCAACATTAGAAATGATATGAACTAAACACACTTTTGATTATCAAGATATTGTAAAATAGTAATGATAATATAAAAAGAAGAGTGTTCTTTCAATTGCTTAATTCAGGATACAATTAGACAGTCTCTGGATGAGCTAATTTGTATTTCTGGATTCAAATCAATGAAATAACAGTTCCTGTCCCATGAAGGTCTTCAGAGACAGGTTTTGGTCGGAGGCCTAGTTCACTACAGTCCCCCCTTTGGAAATCATCGCCTGTCCATGGGGATGAATCTAACATAAACTTACACCTCCGAATGTCCTTGATCTTGATGTAATCTAGCAAGAGGAAAACAAAAGTCAAAGAAGGTAATCCCACAACGGTTTAGGTAATTCTACAATGTTGTTGGTAATTCCATTATGTTGTTGGTAATTCCATTGTAGCAATGCTTTAAACCCTTGGAAACAAAGTCTGTAATCCATTGGAAAAAGTCATATAATCCACAACGATAAATCCACAACGATTGGAGGTGTTGATTGATCAGCATGTAGAGGGGTTCCCTCGATTGAACTGCAGAGGCGACCACTGGATGGAGTTTGGAGACCCACGTTAGAGTTGTAGGTCCCTTCAGCAAAGGTTGCTGCTGGTGGTTCCCAGTGGGTGCCATTCTGGTTCTATGTGTTATGTATCTATGTGGTTTTAGTTGGGCTTATGAGTGGGATTTTACATAAGACCTTAACCTATATGCACCTGGTGTGTAAGCTATCATGGTTTAGATCAGCTACAGTTACCAATTAAAGGGTGGGTCATGCTGAAAATTTTATATAGGGATTTATACCTATAGAAGGGCAGTCCAAACTATTTTTCCATTCCTAACTTGGTTTAAGTTAGATTTACATGGCAAAATATAGTTTGGTTCAATAGTCTGTTGTCCCTTTTAGACGAACGACTTGAGGTTTGGTTTTTGGTTTCCCCCTAAATGTTTTGGAGTCTATGGTGAGACTCAACTGAAGGATTAGCTAGCCCCACCCCGAATAGGATTGTTCGAGTAGGATCGGCTTGAGCGTTGCAAGACCAATGTAGGTTATGGTACTTAAGGTAGCATTAATCTACATTGACTCCTCAAAGATTGAAGTTTAACAAATGAACTGCATGTTGGCATAGTTAAAGTCCTCTGTCTCCAACTAAAGTACACACAAAATTCACTCCTGTTGGAGGTGTTCAGAAATAATACCAAAACCAAATAAACGATGTCTCAACATCGATAAAAATAGTGATTAAGCAGCCAGAAAAACAACGTTTCAACATCGACAAAAGTAGTGATTAAGCAACTAGAAAACAACGTTTCGGTGCGTCACTCACTCTGATTGTCAGATTCGATCACGCTAATCTGTCTGGGTGTTTATCCGCTTGGATCTCATATGCGATGATTTACGTCGGCAAGTTGTCTTGTGCAACGATCTAGTTTGGCCTGAAGGGAGAGATTGTGGCGGATTTGGAACACAATCATTCCGATTATCAGGAGGAATAATGACGTGACTAGAACCAAGGTTAACGTGTCGGCCCTGGACCACGCGTAGGCGAGAGATTGCTACAGATGCCGAGGTCCGGATGCGAGGGTCCTGAGGACCTGGTCTATTGGTTCGACCTCTACGACCTTAGTTCCTTCGAATTTAATTTGCTCGATGGTGTCCGGGTCTATCACTAGGCTCATGTTTGTGAGGTACCCAGGTTCTTCTAGAGCCGTTTCTCATTGATCCGGGTGGAGGTGATAGAGCGTCAAGTCGCCAATGTGTATGGTTTTTCCCTGAGGGACATCGATCCACATTGTCTTGTCCGGTAAGACCAAGGGTCTATTGGCCTCGGCATGTTCATAGGCCAGGATCGCCTTCCGTTGGGGGAGTGTTAACCATCCACCGTGAACCGGCTCTTTCCGCCTGAGTGGCTGTTACTTGCCTTCGCGGTGTTATGGTCGTTGCGCATTTTGAATCTCTCGAAATGGGTGTAATACCACAAATGCCTGCGGCATTGTGCCAGATGAAGGGCTTGCTGAGACACAGATAATGTATCTCATGAGTGGGAGTGCACATCTGGAGATTTGGAGCTAAATAGACAGTGGGGTTACTATTGTGATAAGCAACCACCTGAGGGGTGTTGACTTTGACGTGATTGTCACTGTGCCAATTTCCAAAATTAACGACATCCTTGAGTCTGTAGATGCCATTCGCAGGGATGATTGGTAGGTTGATAATGAACGCAACTTCACGCGCTTTGTGCCTGACGTGAATTGGGATCGCGCTACCGAGAGCATAAGCCAGATGAGCCTGGATTGGCCTTACTTTTTTGTTTGTGGCGGAACTAAGGATGTCACTCACCATCTGTAGGGAGACGAGATAGGGTGGGATCCTGCCGGTGGCTAAAGTATCAACCGACGAGCTGATGTCTCTGAGCGTATCCGTGA